TTAGGAGTAATGCATGATAATTTAAAAAAAATAGAAATATTTTTTACATTTGTGTTACTACGTTTCAGCCCCACCCGTCACAGACTTGCCTCCCCACTTTTGCTTCAGAAACATCTAAAGTATGTTTTCCTACATCCTCGGGCGACAGGTACTGATGTGAAGAGGTGACCTCAGGTCATAAAGGTCGCAGGACAGCGGCGATGGTCACTAAAAGGAGGTCTGCGAACAACAGTTGTTTTTTTCTTCACCCAGGACCATCGCCGTTACGCTGAGCCGTCTTTTGTCGTAAGGAAAGCAGTGAATGCATTAAGGAGTAAAGCAGAATAAGACACTGTTTGGTGAATTCCGTGATTATTAGGAGCTCACTTTCCAAAACTAAAACTAAGCATGTTATTACCCCTGCCACATTACTTTCATTCTCCTTACCAATCTGTTTTTGAATAAATAAAATAGAGACTACATATTGGTTGTGATCATGAGGATGTACCTAGTGTTCTTATCACTCAGAGAAAGCCTTTTCTATTTACCTACACAAATGACATTCAAGTAAATGTAGTATTGATAGAGGGTCTTAATTTAAGCTTGCAGAACATCGGCCTTCCTTTGGCAAAGAAGTCAAAATGCATACCAAGTTGGCGGTGTCTCCCACCGTACGTGAAGCCACCTCTTATGTCTACCAAACCATCCTTGTCATCCTTGCATGTTTATCTGTTGTTGACGATGGCATATTAGATAGGTACTGACGACATTCCCACCAAAACGAGCCAGCCGTTTAATACCAGTGCTCACACCTGACATTAGAACATCCTGCACCCATGGGCAGACTCACAAATAGGAGAGTTCTTCTACACCAGATTCGACAGCATTTACCGTCGACCCTCCCAGCGTTTCCTGGACGTAAGTTTTGGGTCGTTTATCAGACGTCAGACATTGGCAGGTTCTCGCTTCCTTCTCTGTGGGCAAAGCTGCTTCTGATAAACTGTTTGGACGACCCTATTGGCGCTACGACATCGTCTCCTACCAGTCGTCTTTCTTCTCTCGCTCCACAGCATGATGTTCATGTTGATATGATCGCTTGTCTCCATCAAACTTTATTGGTGCTTTCCATCGGCGGTGACGAAGAAGACACTGACACCAGTAGAACATGTGCACCCTCTACTAAGGATCGACAGAGTAAGGATTGGTCTCGCGCTTTTTCCAAGAGACCGCATTTCAAGAAGTCAAGAAAAGTCAATCGCAAGATTGGCACTCTAAGGAACGCTCTCCTGACGGCCTCTCATCTGAGGATTGCTCACCTCACGATCAGCTGTCTCGGATCATCGTTCCGGTTCACATGCTCACTCATTGGACAAATTCTTGTGGGAACAATGGTCAGGGGTTTGACTCTCTCAGGATGGGCGATTTGGGGATCACCTTCTAAGGATCAACGCTCCTACGAGGATGGTTCTTATATAGACTTGGTCAAATGCTCTTTACTTTGGGTTGCACCTGGTCATCCAGCTACACAGATCAACATCATCAAAGGGATTGTTCCTGCTCCTACAATAATCATTTTGCCAGGACTTGTGTCCTTAGGTATTGATACAGCGATTATGCAGACCACCAGCATGGCTGTGAGAGCTTGCACTCAAATGGATCGCTTTTCTCCAAGCCACTTACGATCATCATCTCTACTTCCGGTTCAGGTTCTTCCTAACTCGTCTGTTAAGACAACTTATGTGATGCTCACTCCATCCACTTAGCCACATCCTAACTCACCGGGCCATTGCGACCAGTCAAATGATCAAGTCGGGAACCTAGTATCGTTCATGCAGGCAGGAACCTCTGCCCTCCAGTCTTTCCAGCCTAATGGTGGCACTTCCTCTTGATAATTTAACTTCCGCGTTGGCTCCTGACATACCTTTACCTCAGCTGTTCCTGTCCCTGGATATTGATCCTGCACCTGGTGATATTGATATGGATCATCAAGGGGTGTGTGATATCGAAATACTTCTCCTCGGGTTGACATCACCATCAATGTCTGGGCATATTTTCTATCTATGAATGATATCAGCAATGTTGCCAAATATCTCATATCTATTTATAACCTGCCTCTGCTATTGTCAAGCATTTAGTGAGTCGGCATTTCAAGGCTTAGAAGCCTTATAGGCTCTCCATTGTTATCGTAGCCCTTCGTTTTGTTTTTTCAAGACCACGTCATCGACCATCACTTCCTGTCATTGAAGAAGGATGCTCTATCCGTTTTCATTCTTCACAGCTGATTTTTCCTGCCTTTTCAACGACCACAGCCTGTGGGGTTATTCTATAGCATTGACGTTTATAGAAGAATCAACATGATCTTATTTGAATTTTCTACATGAGATGTATAAGCAAAGTCGCTCACTCACTCACTCACTCTTTCACCTACGCATCTGATTAACTATGTCAGTTTGGAGACGTTTTGAAAGTCTATATTGGCATCATCTTCCGTTACCTCCTTCATGGAATCACCAGACTCTTCTCGGCGTTCGTATATACTCAGTTGCTCCAAGATTTCCAACTGATAAATGATCCATATTGGGCAACTTTGGACGTCCAGATGGTACTCTCTACGGACATTTCATCCACGCCAGCTTCGACAGCGCGAGTCATTGACTGTCCTAGAGTTTCTTGTTCATCAACTGCCAGTCGTTCCTCGTTTTCCGCACTTTCACTTTTTTCAAGTTGGGGTCGAACCCACCACTTCCTCCCAGGACACAGCCGCTCTCAAATCGATGGTGATGATTCCAACCTCGGCCTGGATCGATTGTATGGATTCGTCATCTACCATTAACATAGCCGGGATTGATCACAAGATTCTGACAGGAGATCGACCTCAAGATCAATGTTCGACTGAATGATCTTGCACGGACACTACCAATTCATCACAGACCCTTCTTGCTCATTTAATGATGTTGGGTCAACAAATGGGCTCAATCAAGTTGATGTCCCTCTTTTAACTGGTTCTCAACTCCTGGTTGATTGACTCCTTGAACATTCAGGTCCGAGAGAGTCACACTTCCTAGATCCACAATGTCTCAGCTGACTACCTATTCCGACCAGACTAATTGTCACTGAAAAGATGGTGTCTTGACCTGACAATTATTGCCGCCTCTTTTGCCGTGACTTTGCCGAATCAAAGTTGCGAAACAGGTTCCAAGCTCAGCTCCTAAGGTTTGTCTCACCCATCCCAGATCCTCAGGAAAGGGACCATGACTCTCTCGCCATCCAGTGGTAGTAACTCAACGCTTACACCTTTTTCCCCGAGTTGGTAAGACCATTACTCAGGCTCATTGTAGCTCGACTAAGACTCAACATAATTGAAATGTTTTCAAAGACTACTATCGAGCTCATGATATCAGCACGCCCACCAACGCTTCTCTGAAACAGATCGCTGATTAGCGCCATCATTTAAGATCTACACAGAAGCTAAATATTCTACGTTGGTTACTTATCTTGCTGTGATCACCTCCGTAACTGCTACTACAACTGGATCGAAGATATCTACAGTTGCTGAAGAGGGAAGAAATGCATAGTCTGAGATAGGATAAATATAAAATATACTCAACAACAAAAGTTCCTGTGACACCAATATTTTAGTGTTTTTCAAAACAAGAAATGATTGGTTTCCAATATTGTAGTACATGTATGGAATCAGGTCACAAAAACGCAACTGCTACAGAAAAGCATGCATTCCATGCAAAAGTTGCAAAACTTACGCAATTATTCAACATTACGAAATGCTGGACAGCCATGCAGCGGGGACAAGTTCTATTCACTGATGAGTCTCTTTTTCACCTCAGCCATAGCGATGGACGTATTCGAGTGTACCGACGTCGAGGTGAACGTTACGTCAATCATTGTGTCATGGAAGAAGATCGGTTCGGGGGCGGCAGCGTTATGGTATGGGGTGGGATTACAGCAAGACAGAGGATTGATATTGGTAGGGGGAAATCTCAGTGGACAGCGCTACCTCGACGAGATCATCGGCCCTGTTGTTCTACCGTTTTTGCGTCGTCATGGCCAAGGCATTACCTTTCAACATGACAACGCCCTGCCTCATATTGCTCGACTTGCTCAGGATTCTCTTCAACAAAACAACTTGAATGTCATCCCCTGGCCGGCTCGCTCCCCTGATCTCTCACCAATCGAGCACATGTGGGATGAGATGGATCGGCGCCTTGGACGTCAACCACGTGTTCCACAGACACTCCAGGAACTTTGGAACGTGCTCCAGCTGATATGGACAGATATCCCACAAGACTTTGTGCGACGCCTGGTCCATTCAATGAGACGAAGATGTGTTGCTTGCATCGCAACCAGAGGTGGACACACACGCTATTGATTTGGAAATTGACATTTTTGCATGCTCATGTTTTTTTATGAAATAACGCATTTTCTGAAGTCAGTATGGCAAATTAAACCATTTGAACACTTACTAGAGTCTTTTATCTGTTGCAAACCGATTTGGTCAAAAACATCACTTTGCATTATATCTTATTCAACGTCAACTTTTGTTGTTCAGTATATATATTAATTGTAAAATTTACGCTTTCTGACAGTTCTGATGCCATTTGATCAAATCTCCATTGGTTGAGTTCTTGTTACCTGATTTCCCATTAAGCATGTAATTCGTCCTGTTATATTTATTGTTTAGCAAGTGTATCTCTGCAAGCAATTAATATACTACCAGCCGACTCATCTCGCATCAACACGGGGCTGTGTACTCGCGGGCAGATGGCCACGGAGTATGCTTATCACTGTGTCGGTTTAACAAGACTGATTAATGAGTGATTTCGGTAATTCCTTGCAAATTAGATGTGCAAGACTTAACAGGTCTAAATTGCACTGATTTAATCGGTTCCCATTATTGGTGTCGGATAAAGCCAATTGTCGGATTAATGAGACTTGACTGTACTGTACTTAAAATAGTGTTCGAAAATTCACTTTTCTGAGATAATTTTCCATCTGATATTTTCCAGGGAAGACCTAGAAAGTTTGATGACCACCACACGTCGTCGAGTGAACAAGCATCGGTGTGAAACGGCTGACGGAACATCTATTATGCAGACAGCTGAATCAAAGACGACTCTGTTTAAAAAGGTTTACTTTAAAGGCAAAGTATCAAGAAAAGGTTAATATTCTACTGCATTAGAAAACATAATTTCTGAAGTGTCTTCTCAGTGTATTTTTATAAGTTGACATGCACTCACATGGAGTAAGCATGAGATTTAATTAGTTAGTGTAACTATGTCATTTCTGATTCTGATGTTTTTTTCTATTGTATGTAGTGAGCACATGCATGTGTGACTCCGGACAAACATATGTAGAATTAGGAACATTCTTTGAAACATTTGATAGTAGAATATGATCACTAACCACCAGACGGACAGACATATTGAACTAGAGTTGCTTTTGAGTGAGTTGAATCAAAATTGCAAGTGCTGCAAATTACGCAAGACACGTTGTAATGTAGTATATACTCAAATGAAGAAGTATATGCAAATTATGATTGATTATATGGATTATATGGCTCAACAGTTGATCAGTCTTCTGATAGTGATTTAATATTGATTCCTGAACACATACTCATGATATGGTCGGAATCGTACAGTCAACTCTTATGAATGGCATTTGTGTTTTGTCATTTGATTTTATTCTTACTGTGTACACAATAAACCACTTTGTGAAGACAAACCAGGACAGTATGATACTATATTAAAGTTAGATCAGGTCAAATAGAAATTCTCAGGATTGATATTCTTTTCCTATCAAACTGCTATTGGAGAGTTGAAACATCCAGACATTTCACCTAAACTTCTGGAGAAATATTATTTTAAATTTGTTTATATTTTAAATATATAAGGACATGATCCCGTACTGGGTGATAGCAGAACTTAAAGACAAAAGATCTTATTTTGAAGAAATGGTAGAATATGTTGAGGTTCTTGTTGACAGCAGATTGTGAGCTCAATGGTTTTTTTTACCAATGCAACAACCACTTCCTGGCAACTACCGTTGCTAAGCAACCCATGTTGCTGTACAGCTAACGCAGCCAGGCTAGTACTATTGGCAAATACTGAGCGAGGGCAACTATTGCTGCCAAGGTGACCATCCGCTTCAAAGCACACAATAAGTCATCCGTTTTAAAGCAGAACGGACCAAATTGGTTCCTGCCGTAACGAGGACAACTCTTTCTTATATGATTTATTATTTGGGATGTATCTATAGATACCAAATGTAACCTGTGAAGTACTGTACCAGTACCCCACATCGAGCTCCCATTTCCGTTCACGTTTACAATAGAAAAGAAGCATACACCCACCATGTTATCCTATGAAGGAAGGATACCTTTTCAAGCATACAGCAGATAAAGAGCAGTGAATGAAGATGTCCAGCCCTTGTGGCGACAAGTGAAAGCCATCACGCAGGTACATTTGCAGTTTTCCCAGTTGATCTCATGGGCCATGTTCCCCACCCGCCTATTCAACTTCTGCCTGGCCCTTCTAGGTGCACAGACAGCTGGCTATATGCCAGTACCGGCGTTGCAGCATATCCGACCATATCAGGATGGCTACAGGGTACAGTAGGCAGATTCTGAGGAGCACCATGATGTCATTATAGAGCTGGCATGTTGTTCACCAATGGCTATGGTGGTGTCAGTACCGACTTACCCTGGGCGTCTACTAGCTTGGTAAGTTCCTCCCACCTCATGCCACCCATCAGTCGGAGATTGATTCCCTATTTTCTCTTCAAGGAGGTGCTGCCTGACGTATATAGCTTTTCTACCTATCTGGCCCCCAACTACAAAAGTGCTGTATCACATCTGAACTCTGTACAGGCTGCTGTAATTGCTGTGCCAATCCTGAAGAAATGTAAAGAGTGCTTCACTGATAGTTTCCATACTGGTAATTATCTTGGAAATAACAGTTACCAGTGAAGTCACACAAGCTATGTAGCCAATGGGATGTTGAACTCCCAGTTGCATATAACCTTACCACACTTGGAACATGTCCTGACAGAGACAGTTGTGCAATGACATGTAACAGGTGAGTGACACATTTTGTTGCCTTGGTCAAAGTGATGAATTGCAGGATGGATGCCCGCCCCTTATCGGGAAACTCATCATGTTGGTGGACAGCTGATCTCGATGGGGAACCCAGAGCTATTTTGATGGAAAAACTCATCTGGACTTCTTTGCCATAAACTTCAATAAAAAAGCTCCCAGTGAACGTCAACCGGGTGCCGGATCCCAGCGCTGTCCATGGATTGGACAAGCACCTTCGAAAGGCGCTTTTCCCCCTTTGTCTCTTCTAGGAAGATCGATCTCAAAGTGCCAATATGGCCATCCCATCCATGGTTCCCCAGCCTATTCCCGTTACTTCTGGACGAACTAAAGATAATCTCCTCAAACATCATCTTCCCTCTACTTCATGCTTGGAAGTTACAGCACAAAGATGCAGGCAACTGGCTACTCCAAATCTGCTTCAGTGACAGTTGCTTGATCATGGAGACCATCCTCATCCACTTTCCATGACTATAGATGGAACACCTTCTGTAGGACAAGCTAGCAGATTTCCATCATCTTCACCAGAATGCCAGGCACCATTGAAAGATACCACGCTACCCTCACAATAGTTCTACACTACAATATGCTATCTGTCGGAGATCCACCTGTCCTCAACCTCCTCCTGGAAGACATCAGAACTTCACATTCCCAAAGAGGAATCCCTTGGTTGTTCTGTCAGCACTCTTGGAGAATCTATTTGAACCTTTGGCATCTGCCACATTGTTAGAAACGACCAACAAAAGAGCATTCCCATTGGCCACCTAGTTGTGACTTCTGCGATATCGAACTGGCTAAAGAAAACTTAGTTGTCTGCATATGAATGTCTACCACCCTCGCTTCAAGGAATACAGTCTCAGAAGAATAAGTTATCAAGTTATCAGTGGCGCTCAAACAATAACTTTACAACGTCATGTCTTTGGGACAAACAACCAGATCCATTGGTCTGGCAGGCCAGTCGATCATCACCCAGTAGCTCCCCAAACTTGTGGAGGTGGGTACTTGAATGCTGTCTTAATGGCAAGTGATCACTGTCATAAGTCACAAGAATGATGTCCACCAGAAGTAACATTATCAGAACCGGACGTAATGTCATAGGCGTCATGTCCTTGATGGTCATGTAGTATCAAGGTTGCTAAGAATCGATTGATGACGTCACAACTGGGGAAAGCTAATTCTGTGGAAGTTCACCACACATTTGTTTCTTGAGGTGATTTCGAGATTATATGCACCAAATATTGGTCAAAACAACTGGATTTGTTGTTTGGAACCATTATAATTAGGTCAACAAAAATACTGGATTTAGAAAACATACAGTTTGATGGGTATCGTGGTATTAACTCGCAAGGGTAAAACAGATGTCAGAAGAAACCCATACCTCTATGGTTTTACTGTACACATTGGAATTATCACACAATAATTATCATTGTTAATAATTCAAAGAATACTACCACTTTCACATCAGGAGTAATTCCGTCCCCTCACAAATATCATGTATCAAGGAATTTGGTGTTGAAAAAGGTGAAGACTTCCAGTCTGTGTATGCACAGAGCATGGGCAACTCGTTATAAATAGTTCACAAGGAACTTTATTGTGTGATGACAGCTGAAATACAGGATTTCCGCCACTCATGTATTCTATGAATAATGAACAGTGATTCATAACTATTGTTTGATAACTTCAGTTGCTGCTATTTCATTTCAAATTACATGACCATTATTATTGACATTCTAATTGTTTACACTATATTTGCCCCAATAATAACATAATACACATTGATATCTAATGGTCGGAAAGAATTAAATCTTTCTGACAGTACAATATGTCAACACATCAGAAGGTGACTGTGCTTCTACTTCTCATAGTTAGTCCTAAAGCCAAAGAAACAATGGCGATACATTAGAAAGAGAAATAGGATAATTGAAGTGAAATAGGAAAATTAAATATTCACGCCAAATATGGTTTGATACATATTTAAGATTTTATTCAAATATGAGTAAGTGATTTATTCTTGTTGGTAATTCCTCAATAATAAACAACATTAAGTGGTCATTGAAATAGTGTTAAGTGTATTTTAAGGGTTGTTCTGTAACAGTCTTTAAACACTACAATTACAAGTTGTTTAAAGAAAGCGACAAACCAATTTCCATAATATTAAGAAATAATTCATGTGAATACTGTACCTCTATTACGTCATTGCCATAAATCCTGTATTTTGGTTGCAATCACACCATACTAAGCTTTCAGATTTTCATCTTGTGCCCACTTCACTGTCAACTATACAATTAGTTGTCCCCGCTGTAGATCTGCATGTGTAAAGGGGGGGAAATCTTACTTTTTTCCTCTCTGTGTCTACATATTTCTCCAGCACTTATCTCTAGACACACTATTCAAATACGTTTCAGTGTATGTTTCTTCATCGTACCAATGTATTAGTTTTATGGGCTTTGATTCGTAAGTATTAGTTGCATAAGGGTTATCTTACCTTTTCTCCGCGATGGCGTCAGTCAGCCTTTCACAAATGTGGCTAATTTATGATCTTGGGCGACCCTCAAGTAGAGTGTTGGAAATGCAGAGACGTTCTGTATCTCTCTCTCCAAGAAAACCTTTATCAAGCTTAGTGGTGTTATCCATAATGCTAAGAGGAAAGATGCGGCCAAGATAAAGGTTGATGATATTATCTCCCAGATTTATAAACAACCTACCCCTCCACCTGACCAATTGTCCAACACTCAACAGTCGTCTGTGCCGCTTGCACATCCGGAGTTTCCTGTTACCCTGCTGAAGCAATTATTTGCTCAGCAGAAAATCTCTTTTTGAATCCTGTCTTTCGTCTCTATCACTGGATGAAGAACGGCTGAAAAGATTTGATTACAACAAGGCGCAGAAGAATCTCCCGGCCAAGATGGGGACTGTCTATGACGGACTTCTGCCAGCGTTACAAGTCCAGCTACCACCCGAGTGCCATCTCCAAACAGTTATCTACCTTCACTTCACGGTGGTGGCAAGAGCGTCCAGATCCCAGCACGGTTCTACCAACCATCTGACTGAGCCAGTAGAGAAGCCATATCACGGTTCTCTCTCAGAATCAGGGTTATTCAGACTCCCATCCCATTGTTAAGAAGTCAGCCTTACCACTGTGCATGTTCCGTATAGACCCATCGTTGAAGAAACAACATGTCCACCAGATGGCGCACGCACGGACCTCAATTGGCTCAACAACACGACTTCCATCTGGAGGGCTAGACATTAAGGACAGACTATCTTGCCATCAACACATTATTGGAGAAAAAAAGACATCAAATACTCCAGGAGAAGGACGTCAGCAAGGGCTTTTATTCTACAGTATTCCAAGTACCGAAGAAGAATACCACATAAATGAGGCTACTCATCGACCTCAAGATCCCAAATAAAGATTTTTTTCATACCTTCAAGATGGTTGATGTCTCTCATGGGAATGCTGTCCTTTCTACAAGAGGCCGATTACAATTACGAATTACAGAATATTGTCACAGTGGACATTTCCATGATAGCGAATGTCCTTTTACACCTGCCACAGGATAATAACTTCCGACATGGAACTACTGAAGGATATAGATTCGACTCGATGGATTTCTGATCGGAATACATCTGGTACTAAACAGACTCATGCGATCATTCAGCCTCGAGGATATTTGCATTCCCCGGAACTTCCCGAAATGGAATTGCTGAGTCGTCCTGTCAGCTCTACTAGCCGCTCCATATGAACCTCTTGGAAACGCGCTTCTTCTCCAAAACTCCCCAAAAGCAGCATACTCACTAGCCATGGCTACCGCAGCTAGAGTTTCTGCACTTCACGCCCTCGACTACTCCAGTCTTACTCACGCTCCCAACTGGACCTCCATCACCTTGCAGTCCCTACCAGCTAAGAATCAGTCCACGGCTAGGGGTCCTTTAGGCCACAGACATTATACCATTCCCACCTCGGCACCTACCATGGATCATCCCGATGGCCTCCTTTGTCCTATATGGCCACTCAAGTTCTACCTGACAGCAACTGATCCACAGTTTGCTGGATGGCTTAAGACTACCATAGCAACAAGTTATCCGCAAGCTCAAGATGCTCCTACAACAGATTGTAGCTCTGTCCATGTAAGTCTGGCATCCTGGTCATCCATATCCATCAAGCAAGTCATAGCGGGATGCCAGTGGGCGTCACGCAATACTTTCACCAGTTTTTACTTGCGATACATACAGCCAGACTTGACAGGGATTTATTCTTTGGAACCTATTGTTGAGGCCCTAAGCGGGGGAGGGGGTGGGGGTGTGTGGGGGTGAGGATCTGACATCGGCAGCTACAGAAGGTGAGGACACCTTTTACCTTGATTTACTAGTATGCTATGTTAGGAATTCAACGGCTTCCTGTATTAGAACAGCTCATTAACAGATCTACCGGAAGTGACGACGAAATCGGAAGGAATATAGACCAGAAGTGACGTCATAATCAGAAGTGACGTCAGATGTTCTACAAATGACATCAAAATCAGTCAAAAAGAGGAAATGACGTAATTTAGAACCGGAAGTGACGTCATAACCGGAAGTAAGTGAGGTAAATGATGAGAATAGAACTCAACACATCATTTCATGATTATCAGCAAATGATAAGGTACTTCAAGTGAAGGTATCGCATATTGACTGATATCATCATACTACCCAATTTCAAGTCCTCGAAGAGAGATTCTAGAGTAATTGCCTCTTGAAAGGGTTTGAATCCAGTATTATACAAGAATTCATACGACAGTATTGGATTGCTGTCAACTACACAGGGAGTTATGTGATCAGATCCCGCCTTATCCCTCAGGTATATTCTGGCAATGATGTAATAGAGGTTTAGGATTCACAGGAATTATCAAACAATAGTTATCATTGTTAATAATTCTAAGAATACTACCTCTATTACATCAGGAAGTACTCTCACTCACCTCCCCAATTCATCTGCCTACAGTGATAAGATGTTTTGCGAAGAAGTGACGTTTTTCCCGCCTTTTTGCACAGAAGAGCTGAAGAGCTACTTGTGCAACAAGGGGAACAACTAGTTGTGTGTAGTTGACAGTGAAGAGGACTTCTGTTGAAAATCTGAAGATTTAGTTTGAATGTGTCTGGAGCCAAAATGCAGGATTTATGGCTATGATGTAATAGTAGTAGTGTTCTTAGAGTTAATAACAATGATAACTATTGTTTGATGATCGCAAACGCTCTGACATTACCGATTTGTAAGATCAGATGGTGAATGTCCCTCCTTGGAATGTTAACATCTCTCCAGGACCTGACCTACAGAGGAAGGCTACAGAACTACGACCTCTACAGGCCTTGATAAACAGTCTTCGGAACCTATCGCTTGACATACTGGTAGCATTACTAATCACCTTCCAAGACCACCTTCTGTGGTGGACATATCGACAGCATGTTATCACGAGCATCCCTTTCACCTTTTCCATGCCGAAACATCATCTGTTTACGGACGCCTCATCAGATTGAGGCTTGGAGAGCCTCCTGGCAGATCCCCACATCAAATGCAGGGAGATGAGGGTTATATTCTGTGTGATCCGGAATTGGAAAGATCTTCTCACCAACTCCTCAGTTTTTATTGCCACAGACAGTAGTGACGTATATACATAAACGGGAAGGAACCAAGTCCAGGCATTTGATGGTAGAAACCTCACTTTTATTAGACTTGGTCGACTCATACAATTGTCAGATGGAAGCAAGACATATACAAGGGAGGTTGAACATCCTTGCGGACAGCCTTCGTCAGGGGACAATCGAGGAATATTGATCTGGTTTTCTTTCAGTTCTCCAACACTACGGGCTTTCAATGGGCAGTCATCCTTAAACAGACTCATTCGGTTTTTTTCTGTTCATGTTCCTCGTACCTTTCCTGAAATGGAAGCTGTCAGTCGTGTTATCAGCTCCACTAACAGACCCACTTGAACCTCTGGCCTCGGCTACATTACTCCATAAAGCTAAGAAAGCTGCCTTCCTATTAGGCATGGCTACAGCTGCTAGGGTCTCAGAGCTGCTCAGACTGGATTACTCAAGTCTCACTCATATCCCTACTAGTCTTCTGTCACCTAACGCTCTCTCCCAAAATTCGTAGTTAAGAACCAAGCTACTGTACTTGGCCCCTTGGGTAAAGACATCACACCATTTCTGCACTCGGAAATACGGTGGATCATCCCGACCGTAAGAGCCCCATAAGAGCTCTCAAAATGTATCCTGCATGTACGGATCCCAATCGCCAACCTCAGAAAAGATCATACATATCATGCAAGACTCGCACTGAACAAAGCCACAATAGCCTCAAGTTATTGTCAGGCCTCCCATGTTATGTCTAAGTCTTGTCTCACAGACTGAATATTCCTTGGATTCGCACCCACATGGCCAGAGTGAGGCACCTTATTAATCGCCAGCACACAAAGTAAATATTTTGCCCTGTCAAAGGAAGTCAACAGTTTGTGCACGGGCTGGATACTTTTGATAAAGGGAGACAATTTGGGGGAATGTAACTCTTGTAAATCTAATGTTGACTGCAATGAAAATATCACTGTCCTTAACTTTAGTGAACTCACTCTACCACACAGAAGAATATTATAAAACAAGTAAAATTTGCTTTGGACCTTGCCTTGAACTTTAATATTTGTTACATTTTTCACTACCCATGACAGAATTTTTGAATGTTCTAAAATGGATTACTTGTTTGCTGTGTAATTGTGTGTTCCAAATGTATACTGTATAAGGCCTTCTTGTTGTCATGGCATAACACATATATCATGCATGTGTAACCTTACACTAACGCACTTAGTTCAACATTAATAAAAGAGGCATCTAATGAACCCTTAAGAATTTCACAAGATACAGTAGGCGTATCTCCTGATCATTGTTCCAGCATCCTTCGTTTACGAACAACAAGCTGGCTGGATGGAACTTAAATTTTGGAACTTTTAATAATAAGGAAACAAACATTGATACTGATCCATAACAGCATTATCTCAGTTACTCTTGGGTGTAGATGAACACATCACCAACACATCATATCTTTGATCGAGTGCATTCATTTGAAATTGTTGACTTATCCCGTTATGTGATATCAAATGTTTCATCAAATCAGTAGACATTCCTGTTTATTTAGTAGAATTAAATCCGACAATTGTGATAATTCCAAACAGGACAATTTAGTCTGTAAGTACTAAATGGTTCATCTAGTCCAGTTGATTAGAAGACCTACAGGTACAATTTCAAGAATAAATTAGCATCACCCTCTTTATGGACGCTTTGGTACATCAAGTCGTTATCAAAGATAAAGAGCATTTCTGTTTACTTATGAGAATAAAATTGTACAACCTTTTTGTTGCAGCCAACTGCAGTACTGGACAATCGGAACTGGACAATCTAGTCAGTAAGTACTGAAATGTTTCATCTGGGAAAGCAAACCCAAGTTAGTTCAGTTGATTGGAAGACCTACAGGTACAGTTTTAGGAATGAATAAGCAGGGTATGAAACTCCCAAAAACTTCAGCCAGATCACAGGACTGGCTAGCTGAAATACTTGCCAGCCCTGACCAAAACCTGCCTGCCCACCATAATCATATGTTTCTCAGGATAATTTAATTAAAATTTTAAATCGAATTCATTGAACATGAAGTAATGCAAGGAAAGAAACACATTTTAGGTCAGATTTGTGTTTAATATCCTAGCTAGAATACATCATGTAAATATCCTTATTCCTAAATAGGGCCTCATAACATTAATCATTTTAACACCAAAGATGGACAAAATGTTTAACGACTGATCATAATTTGCATGCGAAAATATCGCATTTTGATTTAATAGGACACCAATATGTAAAAAATTCAATTAAGAACAATATTATAATTTGTATTTGGAACTTTAAACCAATAAACAGTCATAATATATATGAATACATAAGCCGTTCTTATTAGAATTGAATAGGGCAACTCTGATATGTTATTTAGATATTTATATCTTAGCATACGTACACCGTATTGTAGGTTATTGTCATTATGGCATCGCTACAAATTGCGTACTGAGGATTATATGACAGGGTTGTCACACATCTATGGCCGTGGTAAAAGCAAAAACGACTTTTTGCGCAACTAATGTCTACAGTTTAACGAGGCATATAAATTATCATTTAATATAATGTAATATATACCCAGTGCTTTTAATATTTATTATATTCGATTTTATCAACGAGTATCATTAAAAACCAGTGTTGTGGGTTCTTACAGTTGCGCAAATGCCATATACAGCGAGTTGATGTTATGTTCGTAATCGCTGCTGAAAGATCCAATAATATAACCCTTGATACTATAACGTGTGAGTATCGTGTGCTGTTATTCCCACGATATCGTGCATATTATGGTAAATTTGTCATTATTTACACGATATATCTACATATTATGGTTAAAGTTCTGTTATTTACACGATATCGTGCATATTGTCATAAATCGTCTGTTATTTACACGATATCGTGTACATTGTGGAATATGTACTCTTTATGTACACGATAACGTGCGAATAGACACAGGCCCTTGTAGCATAAGCGCATGGTTAAATTTTAGGTCGTCTAAAAGCTAACGGGGTTTCTTTTTTGTGACATTTTATCATTCATCTTTACATGTGAATTAATGCTTATCATCGGGAAATATTTAGAATATTTTTATATATGAAATATTACCCGACCGTCGGGCAGGGGGATTTGAAAATCTGGCAGCCCGAGTTGAAATCAACCTGTCTCGGACGGTCGGGCAGGCAGGTATTTCGAACACTTGAATAAGCCACCACTACTTAATGGATGCTTGGTGGTAACAAACTCATTGATACTGCGGCATACAACAGAAACCGCTTCTAAAGTTAAACTGGAAAGATTACCTACAATCAGCAAAGATATGATACTTTGAACATGACCAGACAACCATGAGATCAGAAAGATATAAGATCTTGTGTTTCATTTGATTCATGATATATCCAGTCTCTGTAGATACTTCCCTCCAAACTACGTAACTGTTCATGTGCATTTGTGATATTTGCTAAAGCTTGGGGTTGTTTCAATTTTAAGCTCACCTGACTGAACGTCAAGTGATTTTATGTCATACTCTGCTAGTCTTGCATTGGTCTTCTCAGAAACCACAAGACCAATGAAATTGAAATTCACAGGCACGTTACCACCAATAACAAACCTGCATGTGTTCACGGATATGAAATGGCCTTTAGTTGGACATAATTTTTCAAGATGTATTTCACATTTGACATCAAATTTTGTTCAAATCAGTGTGATATTACTTCTAGCTAATTTATACGTTCTTCTCCTCTGCATGTTCTTAAAAAGAAGGAAGGTAGGCAGTGCGGCCAATCATCACAATACTATACACCAGGATGCTGCTGATCAGCCTGCTAAGGATCGCGTTGAGATATACAAGCAGGATCAACGAGTTGCATCGACGCTCCCACTCTCAAAGTACGCACTCTCACTCTCAGAATCGATGCTCCCGCTCTCAGGATCGGAGTTCGCATTCCGGGTAATGCTCTCGCTCACCACCCCCCCCCCCCCCCCCCCCCCCCCCCCCACCCCCCCCAAGGGTGCATTTTACTTTGCCACTCGTGTCGACTATTTTGTCAGAAATTATTTCCACCTCCCTCTCCCATCATTCACGAGAGGATGCCTTTGTTTGAGGTGCGGTTCTTTTCAGTATATAACCAGTATAAGGCCAAGATGTACCAATTCCTGTGTTACGGAATTCAGGGTATCACTTAAGTAAGTCCGAAGAGACACCAACTTACAGGTCTGTTGGAGGACCGGGAGAAGGAGTATTGCAGCTACCCGTAGTTCATGCCAGGTCAGTTCGCCTTTCGCAGCTTTGGAAGAGGACGTAATGGAGAGCAGGAATCTAATTCGTCCTCCGGACCATCAATCTCCTTTACTAGACCTAAACTGTTAGGCTCCAACTGTTACTCCAATGCAGCACGACTTACTTCAGCCTACAGCAGTAACCATTTCAGACACTCCCGTTGGCAGAAGACTGGGGCTGTTCTTGGACAACTGGATCATCCTCGCAGACCCATTTATGACACAGTTGCTCCCGACGGGATAACAACTCCTCTGATCTCCTTACCAGCTACATTCCAGCCTCTACAGAGGGTGTATACAGTCAGGCAGCTAACGACCCTGATCAACACTATAGGAATGTTACTTCTAAAGATTGTCTCAGCCCACTTCCCGCGACTCAAGGGTTTTATTCATCCATCTTCCTCGTGACCAAAAAGGATAGCTTGAAGCACCAGCTAATCTTCAATATGGAGGTTTTCAACACAAACTATATGGAAGATCTGCCTACTTTTCGCATGACGTCGATCGCACTCGTTCATCCCGGCGATTGCCTTGTCTACCTGCATCTACATGGTACCTATCTTGACGTTCCCATGAGGGCTGTTTACCTGCCTCACCCTGCCCGTCACAAAATCCCTGCGTCTTAGCTCTTATCTTGACAACTGAATTCGGGCACATACTCCTTTAACAACTCGACTTCTTGCATCGCCTTCTGTACCAGCTCGGATGGTTGGGTCGATGTCAACAAGTTCAAGTTAGTTTCCAGCAAACGTCTCGAATTCATTGGTGCCCTCTTCAAGGCATGATGTTCATCCCGTACGAGTGTTGGGTGAACATTCAACGGTTTGTTCCATTGGCACTCAAAAAATAAATCCAGCTCTGACGATAGCGTAAGGTCTCACTTTGCGAGGCCAGTTGCTTCAGTGCTTTCTTGCTCACTTCATCAGAACCGACAGCTGTGAGATGCAGATTACACTACCGATCCAGCTCCACCCACATCTACAATGGTGGTTAGTTAAATCGAACGTCAGCAGTGTCTCTCTGAAGCCGTTTGTTCTGTCCTTTCATCTGTTAGTAGAGGCCTCAACCATGGGTTGGGGAGCGTATTTTCGCTATCTCCAAGTAGAAGGACGTTGGACCATTGCTTCCACATCAAACAACATAGAATTCAAGGAGGTCAATCTAGCAGTGTCACATTGGTCAGAGCTCCTCTCAACCCACGATACATTCTGACAACACTGCATAAACAGAATGGGGTCCATGAAGTCTATGTCGCCTTCTTCCAGCCCATTGACCCCCTCAACAAATATGTCCTGGCTCGTCAAATTCTAGGGGTCTCCCATGTCATTTACGACTCCCTGTCCCAAACTGAAAGAGTGGTCACTTCACCTGGTGCTGTTCCAGTTAATCGCAAACTGCATCCGTTCCTGGAAATTGATGTCTTTGCCACTTGCTTCAGTGTTCAGCTCTCCTGATTTGTGTCGCCCATCATCGATCGTCAAGCCTGGTACGATGATGCGTTGTCATTCCCATTGGAGGGACTCAATGCCTGCACCTTTCCACAGACAGGCGTTCTTCACCAGGTACTGCAGAAGGTGGAAGCCACCAGTCACCTTTCTCTGACTTTGGTCACTCCCTATTAGACAAAGTGCAACATGTTCCCCAGCTTTCTAAGGCTCATTAACAGACCATTCCATAATCTTCTGCTCCTTGACGATCTTCTATTGCAACCTCACTCCCAGTGTCTTCATCTGTCCCTTCCAAAGCTCCATGCGCATTTGCAGAAGTCTCTTGTTGTTCAAGGCTACTTAAGGTGGGTAGAAACGATCATTGCAGCTCACCTTTATGATCACAAGTGGACAGCCATCAAAAACTATTGTCACACTTGCGACATTTCCATTCCTACCTAGGTTTCACCTCATCAGATTGCTGATCATCTACATCACCTGCAATCTACACATAAGCTTAGGGCTACACATTGACAATCTACCTTGCAGCTATCAACTCCCTGATCGCCACTACTTCATGTGCAAAAGTCTCCACTGTTGTGGAACTCAAATCTCTCCTTGGCTCTTACAAACTGGCTCCTACAATCCTTGCGATATCGGCCTCCTTGAAAGTCTGACATTGAGTGATTATGTGTCACTGGCTGACAAAGATTTTGAACAGATCACACTGAAGACTGTGTTCATTTTGGTCTTGGCTACTGCAGCTTGCGTTAGCAAGATACATGCTTTGGATGCCACCAGGATCCAGTTTAAACATTCCGGAGCTAGGCGGATGGAGAGACCTGAAGAGACGCTTCATTCCGCTGAGGAAATGTCCCGTACCATGATCTCTTTTTGGCTTCGTTCAATCAAACTCCAGGCCTATACATTAGCCGGGTTGCCTTCACTGGAAACGTCCAACTCACATGAGAGTCGAGCGGTTGCTTCCACCATGGCCTTAACACAGCAATTACACCCTCATGGAAGGGTGGCTCTGGAAACCTGATACAGCTTTTGCTTGACCTTACCTCTGGAACATTTCAGTCACTGACGTGCCGGGTCT